TCGTGTGCCTTGGTCAGTCTCAGAGACATCTCACTTCATGTTACTCTGAGAACTGGGGTTACGTAAGTAACCTATAGTTTTTAGTATGAGCCTGTGATATCAGACAGGGAACAAACCCAGCTAGCACACAATAATACACACACACAATAATACATTATGTATACCAAGACACCAACTTTGTGATTGGTTGGCTTCACTGTGTCCCATTAATGGCCAATTGCATGCACCCCCGCTGTTCAAACAGGCAAACAAGGCGCTGCAGCATTGAAACTCTGTTTGTATTCATAAGGAGCGCCTTTGCCAAACATTTCTTTAGTGCATTCCTTTGGATAAATTGTTCACATTTTGATTGTGTTTTATGCATGATTTAAAAAGTTCCAAAGACTTGAAAGTCCACATTTCCTCATGGTGTACTTTGGGGACAATTTGTTACATGATTGGATAGCTACAAATAAAAAGCATCAGTCTTTGGATCTAAAACGTTGGTACATTTCTCTGCCTTCCACACATGTTTAAGTTATATTTTTAACAGAAAATGATAACTATAAGAAAAAAATATCAATAAAATACTTATCGTGGGCCTTTAGACAGATAAAATGTACTCCGTTGACAGTGGTTGTCTTGGAATTATATCAGCAAAAATTATGGTAATCAGATACACTACTCAAATAAAGGTTATACAACCCATTTTCAACAGCATCAAATCACAGGACACCTCCTACAGTTGCCATCTAATCAATAAACCTGCATCATTCACATCGAGATAGTGTGGTCCTTATCTATTCTCTTTCCCCAGAACTGTTTGCATAATTTACGCACATGTTCATAGCAGGCTTTAAACATAATTTATGAGTCGGGGGCTGATCAATTCCAGTAATTCCTCTTTTACCTCAGCGGAGGTTGAGATCTCAAGCTTTCTAATCAGGCAACCCCAGTGCATTCTATTTTCTTTTGTAATCTCTTAGGATTTTTGAACCACACACATTACTACTCATGTTGTTTGCATTTAAATACGGTATGTACACACAGAAGGTAGGTGTTGCACTAAAAAAAGGTTGAAGACGAAAATAACTAATGCAGCAAGCTAAACTAACACTTGTTTTGATAATGCAGCATTTTTTGCAAAACTGAGCTTCCACAATATTGGTGCGTTGTTTAAAAAAAAAAAAAAAGAGCTGTATTGCGCCTCGTCTCGCAACCTGTTCATTACAACATTTTAAATGAAACTCCTTTTAGAAGGGTTTGGTTACAATAGCTAGTCCCCTTTGAGATCTGCGTTCTGGTTGACCCTTGGAGACCGCTTCCAGTAGAGCAAACCTACACACCAAGCCCCAAGGAAATGTTCATAATAGCCAAACAGTTGTACTACAACTTCCATGTCAGTCCTTGACGTCATTAGGTCCAAAAATACACTTTCACACTGCCATACATTGGGAAAAAGTCACTGTAAATCAGTGAATATTGACTTTTGAACTTAATCAACAACCCAGTTCAAGAACTTAATTAGCCCTTATTTAGATCATTAGGTCCTAAAAGTTGTTATGTGCTCATGATGGAGCCCGTTGGAACACATTGTATGTGAAAGGCTAAGAGGCGGGACATCTTTGACACGTCTCTAAGCAGTTGACTAATCACAACAGAGCCGGCAAGCTAACCAATCAGAGCAGACTGTACTTTTTTTTTTTTTTTTAGATTCTACTTTTTTAAATACTAAACCTCATTTATACCTCAAGATAAATCATCCTTTCATGGATTACAGGCAGAGTAATGTATGTGAACAACATGCATTTTACAAAGAATGATTTGTTTAATTTAAAGTTTAAAATCCTATTGAAAACAGTTTCTCATTTGCACCTCTCAATTAAAACACAATGCAGCTCTTATTCATGAGCTTGTCACAATTCCCCGCACAGCGGTTAAAAGACATAAATATTAAAAAAAATGATTCTCTCTGATTCGCTAATCTTCAATTGTTCATTGCCATTCACACATTCACTCCCAGCGTGGGTCTGGTGTGTGAATAGAAAACATACAAGACATATCAGAAGATATGGTTCCCTGTGGTCTATAATGAGTTCTGCTGATGGGACAACTGTGTTCTGCTAGTGACAGTTGGGACAAAGCATGATAATGAACATTCAAAGTGACAGTGAAGGGGCTGTTTTAGACTCTTCACAGCCTCCACCAGAGATGCTGTTTATCTGTCAAGTGGACCTCAGCATCTGCTCCTGATGAAAGGAGCGATGAGTTGAAATGGGAGAGAAAGGGAAGGGTGCGAAGTGGAAACAACACTAACTCATCTCGATGTCCCGGTTAATTCAATGGAGCGACGCGGCACAGTGCCGTGTGTGATGTTTTCGGATAAAGAAATTCAAATTATAGTGATTAATTTCACACCAGTCGTCAAAGGGAATTGTTTAAACCATGTTTGTATCCAATTAATGTATGTGTGTAGTCAGATAAAATGCATGTCAAATGGTAGCGCGGGTAGGAAGTGACATATGTGGGTATATTACAGAAATATATTTGTTAGGCTGCCCTCTTTTGTTTCCCGGAGACATAGAGCGTTTTTATTCCTAATGTTGTATGAGCAATTATTTTATGCAGGTCCTCGTGGACCCCGTTGCCTTTTAGCTGGCTTGTCGGGCAGTCTGATTTACAACGCTGCATGGTTGCCGGCATTGCCTTGGACTGATGTGCCTCTTTTCTCAGCAATGGAAGCTACTCAGCCAACTAACTAACAAACCAATCAAATACAATCAGTCAAAGTGGTCCGATTCCCCGTGTCGAAGACCTTTGCATGATATATTTTAACCGTATCACTTTCAATTCACTTTTGATACTTTTGATATTTAGAGCGAGAGCTGAGTGGTGCCCAGTGCAGAGGGGATACAAAGCCGTGCAGATTAATTGAGGTTAAAGGGAACAAAGAGCTGGGCATAACAGAGGTAATCAGGTTCTCAATCGCCTCTGTCTGTTAACAGGTTATTTCAAAGTTAGCCCGCGTGTAGCCCATGCTTACACTTTTGACCTCATTATCCATCACAGCTTGTGTTTTTGCTAACGGTGTTTTCATAAAAGAGAATCAAATATTTTCAATTTTGCTGTGATACGAAGAAGAACAATTATTAAACTATAGAACAGATAGGAAAATATCTTATTTGGTAAGATTAGGAAATGATCTTTGTCATGGTTAGGGTAAGGGTAAGATTGTAGTAACTTAAAATAATAGATACATGTTTCACTGTCTGTAGGATACTGACTCACCTCCCTACTACAAGGTTGTGTAGCACTAATAACACCATGGTATATTTCTGACCTTGCATTTAAAATAAAAGACGGCGCTCTGCTCCTAAGAAATCGTAGGCACTAGATTTTCGATAATGATTCCATTACCAAACCCTCTTGTCAATCCAATTCTTTATTTTGTCCTGCTGAACCATGGTGGACAAAGACTACATACAGGAAAGACATTTTTGTATATATATGTTTACCTCAATTGAGCTTCATTACAGCAATAAAACACACTTTAAATGATTAGGAAATAAATGGGATCATTTGTATCTGAGTATTTACAGTGAATAAAAGACATTTGTCGAATAACAAGCTTTAAAAGTTATAAGCAGCTTAGATTAGTAGATTTGACCAAATAACAATTGAACAACTCATGATAAAGTTTGACTGCATCCAATTAAATTTTGTACTGAATAAAGCTTGATTGCATACTGATGTTACTCAATGGAAGCTAATTCAGTTTGCTGTTAGCTTCAAATAGATGTTTTTTCTTGCAAAGGCAGTTTCTACTCTGGTATGGACCTTTTTCAAACGTTCTCTCATGCAGTTTAAAATGACATTTTGTCTAGAGCAGCACCTCATTGTAATACTTCTGCGAACAGGAGAAAGTGAAAAACCCTGTTAACAATCTCACAGTTGGTGAGAAAAAAAGTTCAGGAGTTATCAAAACCATTCAAGTGTGACTTTAACCAGTGAGATTACCAGGCTGAAATTACCTTTTGTATAATACCTGATAACAGCAGGTTCCGCCATGTACTGTGTATACATGCTCATCTAACATTTTTGGGGTAGCAAATGATTACAGCAAAGTTTAACAAAGCTCTAATTTTGGCAATTTTCAGACATTCGACTGAGATTGTAGCCAACTGTTTCATTTAAAAAAGAGAAGAAAGTGTTTTTAATGGTCTTCTTGGGGTCGATTTCTTATCTGATGGAGCCTGTGTCAGTGTTAAAATAAGATTTCATAGTCTCCATACCTGTAATTCAAGCTTTGCCTGAAGTACATTTTTCCCTTTGCACTCGCCAGATCTGTAAC